TGAGCCGGGGCGGCCTCCCTACCCAGCCAGTCTGGCATTGTTTACCAGTGAGCGAAGGTCCCCTCACGTGCTCCTCTGAAATATTTCATAATATTCCACTCATTTTAGTACTTGCAATGTTTCACAGGTGCTTGACTGTGACCACAGACACTCACTCGACCCTAAGGGAATTTTGGAGAGAACACTTCAGCATCTTCCATTGCATAACCCTTATAGGTATAGCTTGGGAGGGAGTGACTACCAGGACTTTGAACTCTGCTTTGAGAAAATTGTGGCCAGATTGTGTCGACAAGAGGGATTTTGAAGGGTTTGGGACTGACCCTGATGAGCCTATATCTGTTGTTAAATCAGTTGTGGCACTGGGGAGTTCCATGGGGTTGGATGTGAGTTTGGAGGATGTGGAAGAGTTGGTGGAAGACCACAATGAAGAGCTCACCACTGAGGAGCTGCAAGAACTTCAGCAGGAACAGCAACAGATCGCAGCTCAGAATCTTGCTGCAGAGGAGGAGGAAGAGAGATGGAAGAAGGTGCCTTCTTCAGAAATTAAAGAGATTTTTGCTATGTGGGGTAAGATGGAAAGCTTTATGGAGAAACATCACCCTGACAAGGTTGTTGCAAGCCATGTTGGCAACATGTACACTGACAAAGTCTTGGGCCATTTTAGGGAAGTGTTAAAGAGATGCCAGAAACAGAGCTCTATCCATAGTTATTTTGCGAGACAGGACTCCAGTGACTCTCAGGTGGTCCTAGTGGCATTAAGAAACAGAGAAGAGAAGCAGCCCCAGAAAAGCAATTGGTACCTGAGGTGTTGCTGGAAGGGGATTCCCCTTCCAAACTGTAAACAATCCAATCTCTCTCCTCCTCCAGTCTCCCATACACTAAGAAGAATCTCCAATAAAGGTAAGTGTTATGCTGTTAATGTTTCATTCATCATTTCCCATTGTATTGTTTATGTACTACATCTATATTTCATGTAAAAAATTTTTTTGTTTTAATACTTCTGGGTGTCAGGAACGGATTAATTGTATTTACATTATTTCTTATGGGGAAAATTGATTCGCAAATCATAGATTTCGATAATAGTAGCAACTCCAGGAACGGATTAACTACGAAAAACGAGGGACCACTGTAATTGCAAGGTACGAAAGTGGAGTGCATGCCTCTGAGTTGGCCAGGTTGTATAACAAACCCTAATCAACCATTGCTACTATCTTGGCCAATAGAAAGGCAATTAAGGAGGCTGTTGTTGTGAAAGGTGCAAGTATGTTTTCAAAACAGAGATCGCAAATACTACTCGAAGATGTGGAGAGACTGTTGTTGGTGTGGATAAACGACAAACAATTATCAGGAGATAGTGTTTCTCAGTCAGTAATATGTGAAAAGGCAAGACAGTTGCATGCAGATCTCATTATGAAAATGCCTGGAACTAGTGGTGATGTTAGTGAATTTAAGGCCAGCAGAGGTTGGTTTGAGAGATTTAACCCTTTAGAAGGCATACAAAGTGTGATAAGGCATGGTGAGGCTGCCAATTCTGACCCAAAAATGGTTGAAAAATATGTGCAGGAATTCAAGGAGTACAGACACTGAAAAATTCAAACCCCAACAAGTGTTTAATTGTGACGAAACAGACCTGTTTTGGAAGAAAATGCCAAACAGGACCTACATTACACAGGAGGAAAAAGCACTACCAGGACACAAGCCTATGAAAGATAAGGTAACTTTAATGTTTTGTAGTAATGCTAGTGGGGATTGCAAAGTGAAGCCTCTACTCGTGTATCACTCTGAAACTCAGAGTGTTCAAGAAAAACTGTTGTCAAGGCTAATGTGTGTGTGGTGTGGAGGGCAAAAAAGTAAGGCATGGGTCACTAGGGACATTTTCCATGATTGGTTCTATCATGTGTTTGGGCCCCACTTTGAAAAATTACCTCCTGGAAAATAAATTGGACCTCAAGTGCTTCCTGGTATTAGACAATGCTCCTGCTCATCCTCCAGACTTGCCAGAGCGAATTACGGGGGAGTTGAGCTTCATCAAAGTGAAGTTTTTGCCTCCTAATACCACTCCTCTCCTCCAGCCCGTGGACCAGCAGGTCATTTCAAATTTCAAAAAACTCTACAACAAAGCAGTGTTTCAAAAGTGCTTTGAAGTGACCTCAGACACTGAATTGACCCTAAGAGAGTTTTGGAATGATCACTTTAGTATCCTCAGTTGCATAAACCTTAGAGGTAAGGCTTAGGAGGGAGTGACTTGCAGGACTTTGAACTCTACTTGGAGGAAATTGTGGCCACAATGTATACAAGAGAGGGATTTTGAAGGGTTTGGGGGCTAACCCTCAGGAGCCTATACCAGTTGTGGAATCTGTCGTGTCATTGGGGAAGTCCATGGTGTTGGAGGCTAGTGGGGAGGATGTGGAAGAGTTGGTGGAGGACGACGATGAAGAACTAACCACTGATGAGCTGCAAGAGGATCTGCAACAGCAAGAGACCACAACTGAGGAAATTGCTTCAGAGGAGGGGAGAGAGAGATCGAGGAAGTTGCCTTCTTCAATGATTAAGGACATTTGTACAATGTGGACAAAGGTGCAAGCCTTTATAGAAGAACACCCTGACACAACTATTGCAAGCCGTGCTGGTGACTTTTACAATGACAGTGTTGTGACCCATTTTAGGAAAATCTTAAAGGAACGCCAGATACAGAGCACTATGGACAGATTTTTGGTGCGACAGAGGTCCAGTGACTGTCAAGTTGTTCCTAGTGGCATTAAAAAAAGAAGGGAGGTGACCCCAGAAGAGGACTTGGTACCCAAAGTCCTTATGGAATGGGATTCCCCTTCCAAACAATAATACACCTCCATCTCCCCTCCTCCCATCTCATCACTCATCAATAAATCTTCAATAAAGGTAAGTGTCATTTATTCTTCATGTAGTATTTATTGTGCATGTATCATTGTTTTCTGTGTAGGAAAATGTATATTTCATGTGAAAAAAAAAAATTCATACTTTTAGGTGTCTGGAATGGATTAATTGGATTTCCATTATTTCTTACGGGGAAAATTAATTCGGCTCTCTGGAACGGATTAAAATCGTTGGTCGAAAGTCCACTGTACCTACCTTTTTTCTTTTTTTCTTTCAATGCACCAGCCGTATCCCACCAAGGAAGGGTAGCAAAAAAGGAAAAACAAAAGTTTTTTCCTATTAAATTTGGTAATATATACAGGAGAAGGGGTTACTAGCCTCTAGCTCCCGGCGTTTTAGTTGCCTCTTACAACGTGTATGTCTTATGGAGGAAGAAACCTACCTTTTTAGCCTCGCCTATTCTGTGGTTCACCTCATCTTTCACAGACCCATCTGCTGAAATGTCTACCTCCTAGATACCGTGGACCCTCGGTTATCGGCCGTAATCCATTCCAGAAGGTCGGCCGATAACCGAAATGGCCAGAAACTGAATTAATATTTCCCATAAGAATTAATGGAAATGCAATTAATCCGTTCCAGACAAAAGTATTAACAAAAAAATTATTTTTTTAACAATTATGTAAGTTTTACGTACCTTTATTGAAGGCTACTGCTGGCTTCTGGAAGATAGGGAAGAGGAAAGAGGGAGGAGTTAGTGTTTGGAAGGGGAATCCCTCTCCATAAAGACTAGGTAGCAAAGCCTTCCCTGGGGTTACTTCCCTTCTTTGTCTTTTAATGCCACTAGAACCAGCTTGAGAGTCACTGGATCCCTGCCTCACAACAAATCTGTCCATAGAGGTCTGTTTCTAGCATCTCTCTTAACCCTTTGAGGGTCGACAGGCCCTCTCCAAGACTCGTTCTCAGGGTCGGCCAAATTTAAAAAAAAAAAAATATTTTTTCTAATGAAAAGATAGAGAATCTTTTCCTGGTCATATTGACACCAAAAGTATGAAATTTAATGGAAAACTTACGGAATCATGCTTTCACGAAGTTAGCGGTCTCGACGATGTTTACGCATCGGCGAATTTTCCCACTTTGAGCCCTATTTTCGGCCAATTCCAGTGTACTAGTCGAAAGAAATCATAACTATTTCTCTAGAACTCTATTTTTTTCTATTGAATGAGTACAAGAAATCACCCATTCACTGATTTCAACTATCCAGTACGTACAGTGGTCAGAATTTTGCAATTTTGCGAATTTCACACAAATTTCAAAAGATGCCAATTTCCAAATAGGGTCCAGAATAAACAAGAAAGAAATTCCTGACACTAAAATAACATTTCCTCTGTTCGTTAGTCACATCCCCAGGCCCCTCTTATATTTCTTTGGCTTTCCGCTTTCAGTTTTTATCCTTAGAAAAAATAGATTTACTGTTATGCAGACTGCTGCATTAGTGTAGAAATGGTATAAATAATATCAGCACACTTGTGAAAGAATATTAGACTCACCAGTTGACGTGTATTGGATCCTTTACCCTTCCTAAATCATCCGTTTTATTTTGCAGTCCTTTTTATCTTACCCCTGACTTTCAGTGATGAATAATTCTTCTGTATACATTACCTGGTATGCTCATCAGGCTTTTCCGTCTTGTCATTTTCCTTATACAAGGGAACTATTCATGCTCTTTGTCAATCCTTGTGTACCTTCCTTTCCTTCGTGTCTATATTAAACAAATACACCAACCATTTCAACACTATGAATCATGGTCTTGGGTCAGGGCAAATGGCAAGCAAGAAATGTAAAGCATTAGGAAAAACACTGATTAGTGGCTATAGGTATTGTATGCACAAGCGCAGAGTTACTAAGGGCTTCACTGGGTATGCTGTGTGGAATTTTCAGTGTGCATCTCATTAAGAGCTTCTCCTTTTCTTCAAGGAGAATGTCTTGTCACTGGTGAAGGGTTCTTCCTCCAAGGAACTGGAGCTTTCCTTCCCTTTCCTCAGATCAAACCTGATTATCCCTAATTTCCCTGATGCTGTGTGACCCCTTTGGGTTTACCACTTCCCAGTGAATGTAATAAAAATAATTCTCCATATTCTCATTTTCAGATTATTTTCTCATAAAGAAAAGCGGGCCTTAGAGAAGATGAAGTGTGTGCTAAATTATTTTCGAAGAGTAACAACCGAAGGTTAGTGTATGGATTGCATAACAGAAAAAATATCACATTACTCTCTCGATCCCCATATCCTTGAGGAAGGAGAAAGTAGTGTTATTTACATAATGTGTTAATTCAGTATATCACAGGTAAGATGATGAAAGTAACAAAAATGTTTAGGGAATGAAAGATTGGATATCAGATTGGAGAGAGAGAATATGGAGGAAGTAAATACAGTGGACCCCCGCTTAACGATCACCTCCTAATGTGACCAATTATGTAAGTGTATTTATATAAGTGCGTTTGTACGTGTATGTTTGGGGGTCTGAAATGGACTAATCTACTTCACAGTATTCCTTATGGGAACAAATTCGGTCAGTACTGGCACCTGAACATACTTCTGGAATGAAAAAATATCGTTAATCGGGGGTCCACTGTACATATATTTAGATTTTGAGAGTAGGCATGTGGGCAGATGGATCTATGAAAAATGAGGCGAACCATGAAATAGATGAGGGGAAAAAGGTAGGTGATGTGTTGAGGCATCTGTAGAAAGGAAAGTTTATCTGTGGAGTCAGAGGGGAATTTATTGCATTAATGTGATATCAAGACTTCTATATGGATATGCGACATAGGCTTTAAACATTACATCAAGGAGGAAGCTAGAGGCAGTGGAGATGTCATTTTTGAGAGCAGTGTGTGGTGTGAATGTTATACAGAGAATTCTGAGTGTAGAAATTAAAATATTGTGTTGCATTACCAAAGGTAGAATTCAGATTGCTGAGTAGTAGTTGAGATTTGGACATTTATAGAGGATACAGTAAAATTAGGTGATCAAAAGTGTATATAAATCTAGAATGAAAGAAAGAAAAGGTGGGGGTTTTTGCCAGGATGGGTTGGAAGGAGGGGTAAAGGAAGTTTTGAATGCTATGGTCTTGAGCATCCAGCAGGCTAGATTAAGTGGAGACAAATGGTTTTTATAGTATGACATGCTGTTGGAGTATGACCAAAGTAAAATTTTTGATGGAATTCTTGGCAACCAGTTAGCCAGACTTGAGTCATGGAGGTTCGAATTCTAGGAGCTTCAAATCTAGTAGGAGAAAGCTGGTAGACCTACATGTGAGAGAATAGGTCTGCGTGGTCAGTGTGCGCAGTATAAAAATATCCTGCAGCACACAGTGCATAATGAGAAAAAAAAAACAAACATGTTTTTGGATTAAAATTCTGACTTTGAGGTGTATTTTTGTATGGTACAGTGGAACCTCTACTTACGATTGCCCCGATGTGCAAGTTTTTCAAGATATGAGCATTCGCTCAGTCGATTTTTTGCTTCCGGATGCGAGCGAAATTTCGAAATGCGAGAGGGCCTCAAGGGAGGTTTGGTGAGGGGCTCTTGCTCTTGATCTAAGGAATTGGATCTCATTTGTTTATTGGACTATCTTATTGAAACTTGGGCAGTGTATGATGGAATGATGCTTCTTAACCTACACCAAAATTGAAAGAAATCAAACCATAAATAACGGTGTTCTCTTCTCACCATTAGCCGGCTTTTATGGTTTTTATGGTTGTATTCTTGTTATTTTGGTCTCATTTGATAGAATGGAAGATATATTACAGAAATAGATATGAATTTGATTGGTTTCACAATGAAAAGTACCTTGAAATTGAGCTCAAAGTAGTGGAAATGTTCGATTCTTTGGTGATGTTAGTTTGTTTGAGCACGCCACCACAGATTGCGATGCATATCAAAACAAAGCTCGGCAGTCCACGTGCTAACGGAGCTTGCATCATGATTGAAGGAATTCTCGTGTTTTCCTTATGTGTAGTTCAGTTATTTTGCGAAATTTCTTGTTTCTAACCATGGGTTCTAAGAAAGTAAGTCCATAGCAGAATGCCGAGAAGAGAGAATGATTACCATGGAGTATAGGAATTAAGTGTACATAGCATTAACCCTTGGACTGTTTTGGTCGTATATATACGTCTTACGAGCCACCGTTTTTGACGTATATATACTCATAAATTCTAGCGGCTTCAAATCAAGCAGGAGAATGCTGGTAGGCCCACATGTGAGAGAATGGGTCTGTGTGGTCAGTGTGCACTACATAAAAAAAAAAATCCTGCAGCATGCAGTGCATAATGAGAAAAAAAAACTCCGACCGTTTTTTTTTTTTTTAATTAAAATGCTGGCTTTGTGGTCTATTTTCGTATGGTATTTATAGTTGTTTTCTTGGTCTCATTTGATTGAATGGAAAACATATTATAGAAATAGAGGTGATTTTGATTGGTTTTACTATGAAAAGAACGTTGAAATGGAGCTCAAAGTAGGGGAAATGTTTGATTTTTGCCGATGTTCAAAAGTAAACAGATGTCATTTTCCAATAAATGTCCAAGTAGCCATTCTAATATGCAGTCATGAATGGGTTGACATTATTTATAAAATTATTACAATATTGCAGTAGTCTGCATAACAGTAAATCTTCTATTTTTTGTTTGAATAAAAATTCAAAATAGAAAGCAAGAGTAATATCAGAGGGGCCTGGAGACATGACTGATGAACAAAGAAAATGTTATTTTAGAGCCAGAAATGTCTGCATTGTTCATTCTGGACCCTGTTTTGAAATTGCCATACTTTTTAATTTTTGTGAAATTGGCCAAATTGCAAGTTTCTGACCACGTTATTGGGTAAATGAAATAGGTAAATGGGCAGTTTCTTGTACTCAATCAATAGAAAAAATGGAGTTCTAAAGAAATAGCTATGAGTTTGGTCGACTGGAACAATGGAATTAGCCAAAAATAGGGCTCAAAGTGGGCGAAATCACCGATTTGTAAATATCGCCGCGGTCGCTAACTTCGCGAGAGTGTAATTCCATTAGTTTTCCATCAAATTTCATTCTTTTGGTGTCATTACAATCGGGAAAAGGTTCTCTATCATTTCATAAGAATTTTTTGTTTTTTTTGGGGGGGGGGGGGGGATTTTGCGACACCAGGAGACACCTCAGGATTTGGGGTTGCGACAGTCAAGGGGTTGAGAGTGACAAAGTGTAACATTAAGAGTGTAGCAATTAAGTGATTACATGATAGAAAAAGGACGAAACGAAATGAACTGACAGCATATACCGCTGTGCCCAGCACCTCTTCTCCATCTCCAAGGTAAATGCTGTCGTACTTCATAATTTCTTTACATTATTATTATTATTATTATTATTATTATTGTTTTCCTTATGAAACTACGTAGTTATCTAATGCAGTTTGCCTCACAAGCATTCGTTTTCTGTTATAATAAGAGCATGGGAAAGTATGTAGTTACGACGCTGTGATGGCCCTCATAGACCCCCACCTCCCACAATGGCCGCTGTGCTGCCGCCACACACTACCACTCCTCACATACATAATGACATATTTTATTCATTCTAGTGTATATATCACATTTCTGTGTTATTAATATTGTTTATTATGTCAATTAGATGAATTGTGATATGGAATAATTCTGTTTCAATAAATTTAAATGAGGAAAATTGACTCGACAAACGAGCAAATCGAGATGCGAGCAAGGTCACGGAACGGATTAAACTCGTAAGTAGAGGTTCCACTGTATTTATGGTTGCATTCTTGTTTTTTCTTGGTCTCATTTGATAGAATGGGAGATATATTACAGAAATAGATATGCTGTTGATTGGTTTCATGATGAAAAGTACCTTGAAATTGAGCTCAAAGCAGAAATGTTCGATTTTTGCCATATTCAAGAATAAACAAATGACGTCACCATTCAATGCGTGTCTAACTGGCCAGTCTAATACCCACTCACAAATGGGTTGACATTATTTATACAATTACTTATATTATAATGCAGTACTCTGTATAACAGTAAATCTATTTTTTGTGCGAATAATAATTCAAAATGGAAAGCAAGAGTAATGTAAGAGGGGCCTGGAGATGTGACTAATAAACAGAGAAAATGATATTTTACTGCCATGAATGTCTGCATTGTTTATTCTGAGCCCTATTTTGAAATTGGCATCTTTTGAAATTTATGTGAAATTGGCCAAATTGCCAATTTCTGATGACTATTGGGTAGTTAAAATCGGTAAATGGGCAGTTTATTGTACTCAATCGATAGAACAAATGGAATTCTAAAGAAATAGCTTTGAGTTTGGTCGACTAGAACAATGGAATTGGCTGAAACTAGGGCTCAAAATGGGCAAAATTGCCAATACTTATGTATTGCCGAGACCACTAACTTTGCGAGAGCGTAATTCTGTAAGCTTTCCATCAAATTTTGTACTTTTGGTGCCATTACCATTGGGAAAAGATTCTCTATCATTTCACAAGAATTTTTTTTTTTTTTTTTGACTGAGAGTGAGTTCAGGATCACGGTTCTCGACAGTGCAAGGGTTAACATTTATCTAACTCCAAAATTTTTTCTTGTTCTTGGCAAAATTTGTTGACAGTGCCTCACCCACTCTATTATTTGCTCTCCTTTTGCACTCCCTCACCATTCTCTTCACCTCTCTTTTACTCTCCATATACTCCACCCTTCTTATATCACTTCTGCTTTGTAAAAACCTCTCATAAGTGAGCTTTTTCTCTTTTATCACACCCTTTACTTCATCATTCCACTAATCACTCTTTCCTCCCACACCCACCCTCCTATGTACTTATTTATCCTCTTTTTCTTAAATTCATATTACAGTGGACCCTCGACCAGCGATGGCATCGATTAACGATAAATCTGACTAGCGATACATTTTATCTCAAAAATTTTGCCTCGATTAGCGCTAAAAAACTCGACTAACACTATTCCTTCCATCTGAGACGCGTCCACTTCTGGCCAGTGTTTACAAGCCAGCCAGCCACCGCGGTCGCTTCCAAGCATACAATCAGAACATTTCATATTATCACAGCCTTTTTAGTGATTGCACCTGCAAAATAAGTCACCATGGGTCCCAAGAAAACTTCTAGTGCCAACCCTACAGCAAAAAGGGTGAGAATTACTATGGATATAAAGAGAAGGGGATCATTGCTAAGTATGAAAGTGGAGTGCATGTCTCCGAGTGGCCAGGCTTTTACACAAAACCCCAATCAACCATCGCTACTATTGTGGCCAAGAAAACGGCAGTCAAGGAAGCTGTTCTTGCCAAAGGTGCAGCTATTGTTTTCGAAACTGAGATCGCAAGTGATAGATGTTGAGAGATGTTATTGGTATGGATAAACGAAAACAGATAGCAGGAGATAGCATCTCTCAAGCGATCATATGTGAAAAGGCTAGGAAGTTGCATGACGATTTTAATTAGAAAAATGCCAGCAACTAGTGGTGATGCGAGTGAATTTAAGGCCAGCAAAGGTTGGTTTGAGAGATTTAAGAATCGTAGTGGCATACTAGTGTGATAAGGCATGGTGAAGCTGCCAGTTTGGACCAAAAAGCAGCTGAAAAATATGTGCAGGAATTCAAGGAGTACATAGACAGTGAAGGACTGAAACCTGAACAAGTGTTTAATGGTGACACTGACAATGTTGTGAAACACGTTAGGAATGTCATAAAGGAACGGGAGGTACAGGCCTCTATGGGCAGATATGTTGTGCGACAGAGGTCAGTGACTCTCAAGCTGGTCCTAGTGGCATTAAAAGAAGGGAAGTAACCCCGAAAAAGGACTTGCCACCTCAAGTCTTAATGGAAGGGGATTCCCCTTCTAAACACTAAGACCATCAACACACTCCCCTCTTCCCATCCCATCAATCATCACCAGATCTTCAATAAAGGTAAGTGTCATGTAACTGTGCATGTCTTCTTCAGTTTGTGTGTATTAAAATTAATATTTCATGTGTTAAATTTTTTTTTTTCAATACTTTTGGGTGTCTTGCACAGATTAATTTGATTTCCATTATTTCTTATGGGGAAAATTAACTTGACTAACGATTATTTTGACTAACGATGAGCTCTCAGGAACGGATTAATAGCGTTAGTCAAGGGTCCACTGTACTTATTACCAAACCTCTTTCTCTATACGTAGTTCAGTTAAAGGCCTTTATTTTCATTTAACCCCTGGCACCCCAAACTTACCCACTACTCCCTCCACAACAGTTTTACCCACTAGCATTTGGATCCCCCATCACAGGTACTCTTTCACTTGGTTCAAAATTCCCCAAGCACTCACTCAACATCTCCCAAAACTCACTCTCTCTCCTCTACACTTCTTTCTTCTCTAGGTGCATAAACACTTACTATAGCCCATTTTTCACATCCGACTCTTATTTTACTCCACATAATCCTTGAATTTATACATTTTTTTATACATTTTTTTTCCTGCCTAAGCCCCCCAAAACATTTGCTGTACTTCCAAGCTCTAATCTATTAAAAAAACCCCTGATGTAACCCCTTTTATTTCTCTTACTAAAACCGCTCCCCCATTCAGGTTTGTTTCAGGGGAGCCGGGACATCCAGTTTTTTTTATTCATAACATCCAAATCATCTCTTTCTTATCGGCATATTTTCACTTTTTAAAAAAAAAGGCATTTTTCCCTTTGTGTTTATCTTAAAAAAAAAAATGAATGGGTTCCAAACTTGTATGTTAAAGAACTAACATCATTGCCCTTCAGTAGGCAAAATGACCATGGTTTTACTGCAACCTGTTTTTTTTTGCATTATTTTGGTTGTATTTCTTTTTTTGGATATGTATATAGTGTACATAAAATTGCAGATACAAAATCTGCAAAAAGGGGTTTACTGTAATATTAGTTATGTACCATTGAAACAATTATCTTAGCAAATTTTGATCATTAATGAATTTTGTTCTCTCAAGTGCAGTGGCTTGATTAGTGAGGAAAATTTAATCCCAAAGGGAAATTTCCCTTTTTTCATCCATGGATTGCCTCCTTTTGTTTTTTAGGTCGTTTTCACAGTGCATATGGACTTTTTTAAGTGGAATAAAAAGATTTTGGATGGGGCTGTGAATATGTACCTAGCTGGGATGGAGGTGCAGTGTCTCACTCTGAAGGAATGGTGGGGTTTTGAGTTCGGTGGTCAGTTAAAATTTGTCATTTTTGACACTCTGGAAAAACCCCTTTTCATGAATGAGGTAATGTGCCCTCCTTCCCTTTTTTTATTCAACCTCTTGTAGGTATTTAAAAATAATTAAAAACAATCTTTTGGCCATTTTTTATGCACTGGAGGGGAAAAATTTCCCTTTATGTTTTTATTCATTTAAATTGTTTTTCTGGGGGAAAATTTTCAAAACCCAAAAGGGTTGTGTGACCTTTACTCGGCAGTATGTGAAATACCAGAGTTACCAAGGGGGGAGACAGCCACACAACTTTTCCCAAAATTTTTCTATAGATACTAAGGGCCTTATTGAAGAAGCAAGTGGACTTTTTAAAGTGATTTTGCCAAAAAGTAAAAAACCTGACAAGATTTATTTATTTATTGAAATACGTATATATCATTATTTTTTTTTTTTTCAAGTTAAAACCATACCACATATTTTGATCTAATGTAATGCTTTTCCTATTTATATTCTTTAGCTGGTAGTTTTTTCTTTTTTGTGATGTTCCATGATGGTCTTGTGTTAACAGTAATCTTTAAGAAAAATAAAAAAACCATAGGTTTAAAGAAGGGGAAAAGGGGGTGGTTAGTGCCTGAGAGTCTGTGGAGGGAAAAAAAAAAAAGAAAATTTTTCCATGGAACAAAAAAGGGGGATGAAACCCGGTATAGTGATACCCCAGTTTTTTTGGGTGTGATGCATGGATTTTAATGTTGCAGTGAGGGGGGAGCTTTAGGCAGTAGAAAAGCATGTTTAAGGGCAATGTTGGGTGAATATATTATGTTGAGGATTTGGGGTTTGGGGTTTTGCGAGGCGTGGAGTTTACAAAAAGATGTATTGAGGGGGCTGATGGGGGAGGGGGGCTTTGTATCCAAAAACTTGTGTAAGTGTTTTAGATAGGGGTTGGTGGGGGGCAAGTGATTTTTTTTGATTTGATGTGTGTTTGGGGTGTGAGAAAAAACATTTATGAAAAAGGGATATAGAGGAACCTTTAGCGGACTTGAATCTGGAAAGGGGGAAAATACATGCCTGCACTTAAAGAAAGGTGTGGGATGTTGTGGTTTAAGGTTTTTACCCGGATGCAGTGCCTTCAGAAAAGAAGTGTGGGATGAGTGAGGGATAGTTTTTATTTTTTTCTTTTTGGGACCCCGCTTTGGGAGAGGCAGGTGAAAGAAAAAAAAAAAACTTAGGTTTCTCATTGTCTGAAGTTCTTAATGTTTTTATCTCAATTTGTGGCTGCTTTCCCTTTTATCCATTTATATTACATGGCATTTGTCTAAATTAAATTCCTTAAGTGATCTCTTTCACCACTTTCTCAATTGGTGTAGGTTCTCTTGCAAGTATATGCAGTAATTTTTATTACTTATCTTGCATAAGATTTTTTCATCATCTGTAAACATTTTCATGTAATTCCTAATTCCTGCTGGTAATTCATTTATATACAGCAGATTAGAAGCATTATCAGACCACACACACAACCTTGTGGTGCCCCAGCATGAGGACATTTTTTGTAAGATCCTTTCAAATAGGAAACCCTTCTCTCATTGTGATAGTTTGTCTCTCTCTTTGCATCCTATGTTTTGTAATTTCCAGATTAGATTTTGTGGTAATCACTTGTATTATTTTTACATTGAACAAGTCTTTCATGCTCTTGACTTTTTTCCCTGCTCTGCTGTTTTAGCATCATTCCACCAATCTTTTGTCTTCCTTCCTGTGCTTGCACTTTTATAACTACAAATTTCTTTGCATACACTGACATTGCATTCTTAAATCTGCACTACACCTTTTTCATGTATGGTGTTAAATGTTCACTTTTTTTCTTTTCTTCAGGGAGATTCCAATTATAGTGCAATTCTGTATATCAGTTTTGATTCACATATTCTTTTCACATCTCTTTTCGTCTTCATCTTTACATTGCTGCTGCTTCCTCATTTTGTCTCGTATTTTTCCAACTTTTTCTCAGGAAAGATATCTGATTACTTTTACTGCTAAGATTAACTGATATACTACCTCTCTTTAATTCTAAAATAAAACTATTTCTACAGTGAGGTGAGAATATCAGTCCTTGTAGTTAAGGCAGAGAAAAGTAAATTGAATGAAACTTATAAGGAACTAAATGTCATTTCAGAATATCCATCTCTTGTGGGTATTCCTTTATATTCTTAATGTCATTTTTTACATGTATTCTATTTCCTAGGGGGAGGAGGTGGGTCAGGTTGTGTGAAAAGAGGAGATTCGTTTTTTTTTTCCCCAAACTGATCATCTCCCGGCTCTTCACTCAGGCACTGGACAAAACTGAGGCACTCATCATCACAGGTTTGTAATGCATGCAGTAACTGTATTTCTCTTTCTGTTGTTCATACTCTCAACTTTTTTCTTTCATTTGATAATGACTTTAAAGAGTTCTTAAATGATCATCCGTCATATCATTTCATTTTTCTATTATATCCCCCCTTTTGCTTACCTTGTTTAATATTTTTTTCCTGCCTTGAATTTTCATTTGCTGCAACGAATTTCATAAATTTACTTTTTTAATTTTAATTTTTTTCAGCTTAAAATTTGGTCTAATATACATTTATTTTTTGTAAAGAAAAATTTCAACTACTCAGATTTTAAAACTTGAAAAAATTTAAACTGTAAAGAGTATACAACAATTCAAAACCACAAATACTAAAAACACTAATGTAAAGACCGGGGTTTGATAATGTCAAAGACCACCTTCAAAGACCACAAAATACAGGGGGCCCCCCGGGTTTTACGATCACCCCCCAATGCGCCAATTTGAAGCGTATTTATAAAATGGTTTGTATTTATTTTTTGGGGGCTAAAAATGGACTTATTAATTCGCAAAATTTCCTTTTGGGAACGTCGGCGTACTGGCACCTGAACATACTTCTGGAATGAAAAAATATTGTAAACCGGGGGCCACTGTATTCTCCTCGCTGAAAATTAAGGATGGATAATGAAACCCTTTAAAACAGAGATCCAAGCCAATATGATTCTCTTTAAATTGTTTGTTCTCTCTAGGGTGGAAACGTGTACATAATTGCCCCCTTTAAAGGAGTGAAATTTCTGACCTAAAAAAAGTACAGAGAACCTTCACGGGACACAATAGATAAAGCAACCCAAATTATTGGGAAAAGGGGTAAGCCCTCGACCTGTACCCCTGGAATGCAAGGGGAAAGATACATGATTATACGTACAGGGACCAAACCGACACGACCGACTTGGGTTCTGACCAACCAGCCATAAATCAAAATGAATCCAAGTTGAACCTTAAAGAATTGCCGATAGGGATACTTCAAAAATTAAGTCTTAATCTTGTAAAGCAATCATTCTTTTATGTTTGTTGTGGAGATCACTTCAATCCATTCATTATTATTAATTGGTTTTCATAAAATACGTGAATAACTTATTTCCAAGATAATAGCCGAAAGCGCGCATACCCGAGTATTCGGGAAATATTTTTTTACCCCCAAAACATCCTTTTTTTTTTCAGTGTTTTCATAAACTATGAGTGTCTATTACAGTTTGGTCTCATGCTAGATCCATTTTCTCTCATAAAAGTGATGAAAGAATGGATAATAAGCCTTATGGTCGGTGGTGTCCACAAAGCTCCTTTCCTATCTGCACAGCAGGCCTTCATATTATGCTAGATGGGTCAATGAAAGATGAGGTGAATCATAGAATTGATGAGGGGAAAAGGGTGAGCGGTGCACTTAGGAGTCTGTGGAGACAAAGAACTTTGTCCTTGGATCAAAGAAGGGAATGTATGAGAGTATAGTTTTACCAACACTCCTGTATGGGTGTGAAGCATGGGTGATGAATGTTGCAGTGAGGAGAAGGCTGGAGGCAGTGGAGATGTCATGTCTGAGGGCAATGTGTGGTGTGAATATAATGCAGAGAATTCTTAGTTTGGAAGTTAGGAGGAGGTGTGGGATTACCAAAACTGTTGTCCAGAGGGCTGAGGAAGGGTTGTTGAGGTGATTTGGACATGAAAGAGAGAATGGACAAAACAGAATGACTTCAAGAAGTGTATCAGTCTGTAGTGGAAGGAAGGCGGGGTAGGGTCGGCCCTGGGAAAGGTTGGAGGGAGGGGGTAAAGGAGGTTTTGTGTGCGAGGGGCCTTGGACTTCCAGCGGGCATGCGTGAGCGTGTTTAAATAGGAGTGAATGGAGACAACTTTTTTAAAATACTTGACGTGCTGTTGGAGTGTGAGCAAAGTAACATTTATGAAGGGATTCAGGGAAACCGGCAGGCCGTACTTGAGTCCTGGAGATGAAGTACAGTGCCTCCACTCTGAAGAGGTGGTGTTAAATTTTTGCAGTTTAAAAACTGTAGTGTATACACCCTTCTGGCAAGACAGGGGTGGAGTGAATGATGGTGAAAGTTTTTTCTTTTTCGGCCACCCTCCCTTTGGTGGGAATCGGCCAGTCTTTTAAAATAAATAAATAAATACTTTTTTGCTGATGATACTGTGCTTATGGGAGATTCTAAAGAAAAATTGCAAAGGTTAGTGGATGAGTTTGGGAATGTGTGTAAAGGTAGAAAGTGAAAGTGAACATAGAAAAGAGAAAGGTGAAAAGGGTATAAAATGATTTAGATAAAGAAAAATTGGATATCAAATGGGGAGGGGGAGTATGGAAGAAGTAATGTTTTCAGATACTTGGGAGTTGACGTGTCGGGGATGGATTTATGAAGGATGAGGTTAATCATAGAATGATGAGGGAAAAAAGGTGAGTGGTGCATTGAGGTATATGTGGAGTCAAAAAACGTTATCTATGGAGGCAAAGAAGGGAATGTATGAAAGTATAGTAGTACCAACACTCTTATATGGGGGTGAAGCTTGGGTGGTAAATGCAGGGAGCGAGGGGGATGTTGGAGGCAGTGGGGATGTCCTGTCTAAGGGCAATATGTGGGGTAAATATTATGCAGAAAAATTTGGAGTGTGGAAATTAGGAAAAGGTGTGGATTAAAAAAAAGTAATAGTCAGAGGGGAGAAGAGGGGTTGTTGAGGTGGTTTGGTCATTTTGAGAGAATGGATCAAAGTAGAATACATGGAAAATATAAATCTATAGGGAAGGAAGGCGAGGTAGGGTCGTCCTCGAAAGGGTTGGAGAGAGGGGGGAAAGGAGGTTTTGTGGGCAAGGGGCTTGGACTTCAAGCAAGCGTGCATGAGCGTGTTGGATAGGAGTGAATGGAGACGAATGGTACTTGGGACCTGACGATCTGTTGGGGTGTGAGCAGGGTAATATTTAGTGAAGGGATTCAGGGAAACCGGTTATTTTCATATTTGTCGGGGCTTGAGTCCTGGAAATGGGAAAATACATGCCTGCACTTTAAAGGAGGGTTGGGATATTTTGGATTTTGGAGGATATGTTGTGTATCTTTATACGTATATGCTTCTAAACTGTTGTATTCTGAGCACCTCTGCAAAAACAGTGATTATGTGTGAGTGTGGTGAGAGTGTTGAATGATGATAAAAGCATTTTCTTTTTGGGGATTTTCTTTCTTTTTTGGGCCACCCTGCCTCGGTGGGAGACGGCTGACTTGTTGAAAAAAAAAAAATTATTCTGCCATATTTTTTGTGTGTCTGTGGTATTGATATTTCACCTTATGTCATAATAGATCAACTGTGATAGGTAAATAAGCCTTATTGTTGATATTAGCATAAGAATAGAATATTTTGTCGGCTGCTCTCTCTTGCTTGTGTCAGCACTTCTACCCAGGAGGTTCATGTATATCAACATCACAGCTAGTGTAATGATTTTATTTTATTATTTTTGTATTTCATTTTTACTTTACTTTTTATGCTGTTAATACTGTATTTCATTCTGTAAGGTTTAGGAGAAACACTGTGCACAACACAAATAGTTGTTTATTTCCAAGAACATTTGCATACAAAACAATGTGTTCGAATTCACTTCAAATGTAAGAAACTCCTTGAATATCATCTTTGAAATCTTAGCGAGAGTCTTGAAAACAGTAAACCCTGCCATCACATAACTGCTACTACATAAAGGACATGCCCAGGTTGGGCCAACAGGCACTAAAACATGCTTTCTCAAATCCATCCATTCATATATATTTGCTGAAATAATTTTTTATGCTACCCAAGCCATAGCTTTTGTAACCTTTTTTTCTCGTGTACCAGCTGACTTTCCCACCACATCTATAACTACTACTACCTCTACTTGTGTGGGCAAAACGTTGTCAATAAAGGATCACATTATACTCCTGTGTCCGACCATGCATCTGGCAGCCCTGCTGCCAGACACACGGTCATAAGTTAAGTGGTCGTATGTCGCACAGATCATAAGTCAGATGGTGGGATGGAGGGATTAGTATCAAATTTGCACACGAAAATCACTCCCTATGAAAGCAAAAGACTTGGCAGGTGATGCAGCATCCCCCCAATGAAAAACAAGGGAGCTACTAGCATGATAAGAGACAACACGGTAAGTGTCAGGGGCCCAAGACTGTTCAGCTGCCTCCCAGCATAAATAAGAGGGATTACCAGTAGACCCCTGGCTTTCTTCAAGAAGGCATTGGACAGGCACCTAAATCAGTATCTGATCAGCCAGGCTGTGGTTCGTACATCGGTTTATGAGTGGCCAGCAGTAACAGCCTCGTTGATCAGGCCCTGATCCACCATGAGGTCTGGTCACAGACTGGGCTGCAGGGGCATTGACCCCTGAAACCCTCTCCAGGTATATATGCCCCTCATAAATTGAACAGTGAGGAAGCCATCTTTAAGATAACTACTGTACCATTAAATCCCTTAAATGCTAGGTTTGGAAACATGGAATTTGGCTTTAAAAGTTGGTTGACAGTGCACTTCATTAAAGTAATACTCTACGCTAGTAGGGTATTACTTTGAACATTATATACTTACGAGTTGGCCTAGTAACTAAGACTGGCTGTGTCCTAAGTGCCTTCTAGGCTTGTTTGGTGGGTGGATTTGTGTTTGTGGTCCCTGTGTGCCATGTGTCCAAATTTGTTGGACATTTTTGGCATTTAATGAATTAATGCACACAGGAATAAGTTGCTGACATGAGACAGTTGCGCAGATCATTGGATTGCATAAGGCAGGCCATCAAACAAAGGAAATAGTAGAAGCCATTGATGTGTGTGAGCATTCAGCAAAGCCCTGGTTGTTTCAGTCCCTTGAGGATGGTATTGATGACAAGTCCACATCAAAAGCACACCCAGGAAAACCTAAAATATGTCCCCATTAATGTTAACTATAATAACATACCTGGAGTTACTCTTATCATTTGCCTGAATCTTTCATGCTCTGTAGTGCAAGGCTTTTG